CCATATCAAACACGTATTTTTTTAAATATGTTTTATTGCATATTTGGATAGACCTTCCTAAATCAAAAACTTTGCTATTATATAACCTATGGCCTCGATTGTCATTTGTTTAGATATTTAATGAAACGTCTGAAAAAACGGCCCAACTTTGCAGCTCCGCCATTTTTGAAGATATTTAGATAAATTTTAGTTTACGAAAATGTAATAATCATCGGGTTTAGGCTGATCTGAAAGAAATACTGAAATACCTTTCCATTTATACAGAGTATCTCAAAACGTCAAATATACCTTTACTAATAAATTTGAAATGGAACACCCTGTATATTACATACATCATTAAATAGCTTTCTTTGGGAACTTTTTTTGATTAAAGTGCTTATACCACTTTTTTCTAACAGTTTTCGAGTTATTGCTATGAATTTCAAGAAAATACATATTCCATATTTAGACTTAAATTTTCCTCGAAAACAATAAAAAAAAAAGTTCGCACCATAAGACTCATCTTAACTCATTCATTATGAAATTGTTGTAATACATTCCAAGTAGTTCTGTTGATTCCCAGATGTTTGGTTTGGTCAGGTCCAGTATTTTTTCACAACCACGTTAACAGTCTCTGCCTACGTTGTTTCAGCAACGATTCCGTATTGTGTTTAACTCGAAAGATCATATATATCTGATGTTCAATAAAATCTAGCGTATCTCAGAACAGTATCTAGACCGCTAATAGTTGGATAGGGGGAGGCTGACCGATCAATTGGCCAGCGAGATCCCCCGATCTGACGCCAATCGACTTTTTCCTCTGGGGCCATGTAAAAGGAGAAACCTATAACCACCCGAGAACATGAAACATCGTATAAGCGAGACGTTTAAGTGAATAAGGTAATATACTAAGTGACATATAAATCCGAACACCCAGTTTAAATGGTTTTATTTTAATAAAATTTTGTATAAGTACTTAATGAAGCATAATAGGTAGGTAAATGATAAAAATTTCAAAATGATTGCACTGCTTTAAAGCCCTTTGACCTTTAATAATGTGTGGATGCACCCTGATGTGCTACGCATTATCCAACGCGCCTAGGCATGCTTCTAATCAGGTGGTCAATGTCCTTCTGTGGTATCTCATTCCAGGCAACCACCAACTCCTCTCGAAGTGCTTCTAGAGTCTGAGGAGGACGTTGCAAATTGAACAATCTCCTACCCATCATATCCCACACGTGCTCAATTGGGGATAAGTCGGGAGATCTTGGTGGCCATGGCAACAATGTGACATCATTATGTTGAAAGAAGTCTATTGTGGCTCTTGCAACATGTGGTCGGGCATTATCTTGTTGGAAAGTTGGATCTGCCAGGGTGTCAAGATAGGGTAAAAGATGGGGTTCTAGAACTTCGTGGATATAACGCTGCGCGTTCATGTTACCTCTGATGAAGATTAAAGGTGACCTGGAATCATAAGCTATAGCACCCCAAACCATAACTCCAACAGTGTGATGAACATGTCTTTCAACAAAAAACTGTGGATTCCTCCTTTCACCACGTCGCCTTCTAACCCTGGCACGACCATCGTGCATGCCTAAACAAAATCGAGACTCGTCACTAAAGGCAATACTGTTCCATTCCTGATCCCAAAGTGACCGTTGTCTGCACCACTCAAGGCGATTACGTCGGTGTTCTCGAGTTAAAGGGAGGACCCAGTGTGGCCGGTATGAAAACAAGCCAAAACTTCTCATTCCGCGGTAAACACTTCGCATGCCAATAGGTCTTCCGTGTTCTGCAAACCATTCATTTGCAATGGACCTGGTAGTGGAGAAACGGTCCCTTAAGGCCAATAATCTTAGGCGGCGATCTTCACGGTCTGTTGTTCTACGGCGGCGTCCAGTGCCACTTGCTTTTTGCGTACGGCCTTCTCGAAGCCATGCCTGACAACACCTAACCACAGTGTCTACACTTCTTTGCACTCTAACTGCAATTGCCCGAAAAGAAAGTCCAGCTTCCCGAAGTCCCACTATACGGCCCCTATCAAACTCACTAAGTTGACGAAATCGTACAGGTCTCCGTACCCTAGGCATCGTAACCGATCGTAAAGGATGTCAAGAACCAAAATCCGCCAACGTTGATTTTTTACTGCGGCTGAAATATTCAGTTTTAGAGCGTTAGTGAATTAAAAAAAGCAGTATAAAAACCGGAATGTCGAACTGATAAGGCTGAAATTTTTTTCACTTGTTATTTACAGTAAGATAAATACATTCACCAAATTTTATTAAAATAAAACCATTTAAATTGGGTGTTCGGATTTATATGTCACTTAGTATATATTCGAACGAGTTACTACCGATTGATTGCCTTAGGCTGAAATTATTTTTCTTGTGTTAATAAAAGCTATTGTTTTGTTAAGTGGCTTCTGTTTCTGTTAGATTTTTTTGTATGTTTTGATGGTTTTGGATTTGTATTCTGGATAGTGTAGGAACTAAATGTTACGTCAAAGGAGGGACAATCCGTAAAGTAGAGGACTGACTGTTGACGGATGGCAGTGCTTGCTAGAAACATTCGCTTCTGGAAAAAGTTATCGTTAGTAACCACCCAATGAACCACACAATGATAACGAAATTGTACCTTTACAGTCGGTGGTCAAAAGGTTTTTATCTATTAGCTCTTCAAACTCTACAAAACTCAAAAAAATACATCGATTTATCGATACATCGATGTTTATTTCTACGATGTTTGCATACCTAAACAGGAATAATTGAGGATTTAGAGATCCGCGAGAAACGCCGCTAGCGTACTCGGGTACCGAAAAGAAAGAGAGGAGCGGAACACATCGCAGCGCGGCATCTCTTTGAATACGGCTGGATACGCGTGCACCGATTTTATCAGTATGGTGTATCTGAAGTCACTTGAAATAGCATAAAAACCTTTGGTCGGCGCGTCCTTTGTAATTTCATGACGTATCATAGGCGTGCGGTCATTTATTTAGAACGATAATAATAATGTTTTTATATCACAATAAATGGATTTTACTATCTTCTTATTTTTTTGATTTGGGATAAAAAATACTTATATTGGGAGTTTAATTTATGTTGACTGAAAGTTAAGAAATGGAAAAATTACAGAATTCCAACGTTTGACATAGGCAAATATTTACATAGCAGGTAGGTATATAAAAAGGTATATAAAGACTTACATTATAGGTATTTATATATCATCCTCGCCTTCGGAGCTGTCGCTAGAGTCATCTTGTAGAGGAATTACAACGGGATTTACAGGAGGCAAAACACAATATTCATTTTCTTTTTCAATAATATGCCTAGAACACTGCTTCCATAGGTCTGTGGCAGCAATATGAGATACTGCATCTCTTATTGTGGCCAATAGCGATTCACTTAATAGAGGGGTCTGATTATGTTTTCTTACTTTTTTTTTTAAAGCAGCCCAGACCAACTCAATCGGGTTAAAAATGCAGTAATAGGGAGGTAGACGTAATACTTCATGGCCATTTTGCTGAAGCAGATTGTCAACAACATACTCTTTTTCAAATTTTTGTCTTTTAATAAGATCCAATAATATGGCTTTGGTTGATTTTTGTGGTATTTCCATTCCCTTATGCTTCATAAAATCAATAATGTCTTGTTTTTTTGTGCCTGTATTCGGAATTTTGTTTTTCTGTCGGGAATGGTATGGCGCATTGTCCATAATAATCACTGAATTTGGGGAAATGTTTGGTATTAACTGCTGCTCTATCCACTTTTCAAATAAGTCGGAGGTCATGTCCTCATGATAGTCGGCACATGATTCTTTGATATTTTTGGCAGATAACAGCAAGGCATTAGGTATAAATCCATTTTCACTGCCAGCATGGAGAATAATGATTCGTTTTCCACGGTTGCATGGTGCATTTAAAATGCACTTGTTGCTGTCGTCAACCCAGCCGTACTGCACAACATCATGGGTATCATACCACGTTTCATCCAGGTAAATCAGATTTCTTTTCTGCTCTCTATAGATTTTAACTTTGTGCAAAAATTCTTGGCGCAATTCAACGATTCGAGACGACTCCATAATCACCATTCTTTTATCTAATTTTTTGTATTGAAAACCAATCAGTTTTACAATACAGTGCAGTGAGTCTAAGCATTTGTAATTATAAAAATCTTCAGGATAATCTTTTAATTTATCCCGTATCATTTCCAACGTGGGCACCAAATTTTCTTGATAAAATCCGTATATTATACGACGAATATCTTCCTGAAAACCCACGTCTATTCTTTTTAATTTTTGCCCTATGCGCTTTCTGTGGAAGGAATGGTTGACTACATCTCCCCTTTTTATAACCCGATAAATGGTAGACCGACTAATTTTTGTCAGGATACAAATTCTGTTTAAAATTTGATTTTGCGAGGAATCTGGATTTTCGTTTTTCAGACAATCATACATATTTAGGATTACTCTTTGGGTCTGTTCCTCTAAATCTTTATGAAAGAATTCTGCCTGCACAGGTTCATCAACCATATCCTCGTGGCTTGGAGCATTTTCCCAAGGTCTCCAAAGAGCCATATTTAGGACACACAAGAACAATCAACACAACAATTAAATCAACAAGTAAACTGAGTATTCAAAAGTCAAAAACACACAAACTAATAAAATTTATGAAAAAACACGGACAGACTAAAGAAAACACGTTTATTCACCGCTACACGTCACTGGCTAAACTGTTTCAATTTTCAGTAGCCACCTGCACTTGTTCGGAGCTCAGAAATACACGCTTTCTCATTGGCTATGTCCACGCATAGGCGTGCTTTACTCCACGTGGACCGGTGAAACTGCCTTTGATCTTATACTATATATTTGCTGCGAAATTTGGCGATTTTTGCAGCAACAGAGCGTGTTAAATATAGATATATAAAACGCACCCGGTATTTCACAGTGTTTCAAGTGACTTCAGATAAAGTATACAACCATGAATAAATATTTCTGCGTGAGAATAACCCTCCTTTTTCTTCCAGCTATGGCTTACCCAGGCCTCTACCCGGGCTACGTCCATGCGCTAGCCGCCGCGACCCAAGCTGCATCTCTAGCGGCAGCTGCAGGTCACCATCCCCACCACCACCATCATCAAGCGGCTGCGGCCGCCGCAGCTGCAGCTGCAAAGCGCAAGCGCAGACACCGGACAATCTTCAGCGAGGAACAACTGGAGCAACTTGAGGCCACTTTCGAGCAGACGCACTACCCGGACGTCGTGCTCAGGGAACAGTTGGCCATGAAGGTGGATCTTAAGGAAGAAAGGGTTGAGGTAGGTCTAGTCATAACAGGATTTATTAGTTACTAGCAGTATTAGTAATGGAGTGTTATGCATATCTATAGATGTCAAAAAAAGGTTAATCTGGTGTAGGAGTAGGATACACCAAATTGATATTCTCGCCAAGTATAAATATCTTATCTCGAAAGGTGTGAACTCTTGCTATGCATAAATAAGAATAATTAATTATATGAGCCGCTTACCCATCAATCAAGACTCAACAGTAGTGGGGGAACAGAAACAGAAAGTTTCCTAAAATCACCTACGGTCACTGTTAACCACAACACTTTAACTATGGAATTTGTTAGGTTAGGTGTTATTGCTTGTTCTAAGCTTGTAATTAATGAGAGCGTCATTAAAACTCTGATACTGTTTACTTTCATGGAAGGATGGAAAGTATAGAGTTATGCAACCAGACATACGCTTAACCGTAAAGACTAGAGTGCTATAACCAGAAAGCTATATGCGATATTGTGGAGGTCTGGTCTCTTTATGATGGATCCATATTAACGATCTTGTAAAATTATGGCACTAATTGGGGCTTGCAATCATATTTATCGTATTTAAACTGATGATGACCTCTATAAACAAACTGCTAAACGTCAAACCCGATTCCACTAGTTGGGGGTAAAAATTACAACGTTGCCAAAGCGTACTTGATTATTATTATTATAGTCCGGTAGATTTCAGAATATAGAAATTATGGATCTATTCAAAAATGTTCATTTTCATGCCTAAAAAAGGAAAATTATATTTGGCGTGATCCAATATTGGATGAAGCGATCGCCATAAAGAAGAAAATGGCACGTTTTGTGCGTTCCGCTAGCGCGCGCTTGCTTTCGTAATATGACCATACCTTCAATACCCTGCTTAATAGGAATCCCGAATCTCGGGCTAAAATCAGAATATCTGCATATCGTGGAATTTTCTAATCTGCCGACATTATAAAATGCGATTGGCTAACGTGTTGTATATCGGATTAATCAGGAGACTTTGATCTTTCGTTTTGCCAAAAAAATCGTAGCTATCTCGATTCGTAACCAAGGTCTGTATCGAAGAAGACAAAGTACGCCGAAAAATGGCTGTTATCGGTACCTTTGAGGCGCTAAATGTTTATTTTTCGAAATTTGACGGGAAGTCGTAACCGTCAGGATCGTTTCCTATGCTCAAAATGTATATTTTTCAGTCACTAAATAATTATTATCTTGAATACGTACGAGTCCCTTGCCACTTCAGTTGGCCCACTTCAAGATTTGTACCAAAATATGCCTTTATAAGCAAAACATGACGAAACTATTTACTTCTAAAACAATTTATTTTCTGAAAAATATTTTAGATACACTCTAGTCGTAAAAAATACATATTTGAAATCACTTAGACCTATAACTAATAGAGCATCTGAACAAATAAACAATGTGCGAATAAATGCGCGAAGTTAACAAAGCCCACAATTGAAAGATTACCATTGGGTAACATCACCTTTATTTTTTATTACGGCTGAAATTCTTTGGGGCATCGTGTTAACCAAGTTTTGACAAAAATTTGGTTTAAACAATCCCATATTTCTTGAAGCTTTTGTCTCAGTTCAGTGATTGTACGAGCAGGATGTTGTCGTAGAACCTTTTTCATCTCGTGCCACAAAGTTTCAATAGGTGACAGATCTGGACTGCTAGAAACCCACTTCAAAAGTGGTACATTATTTTCTTCCATCCATTTTATAGCCTTTTTTGAGGTATCGCACGCTGCACCATCTTGCTGAAACACAAAATCTTGGCCGGATGTCAAACATTCTTCCATCACTGGTAAAAGCGATTCTTCTAAAATTTCCAAATATTTGTTTACATCCACATTTCCATCAATAAAATGAAGTTTTACTACTCCTTTTGATGACATACTGCCCTAGACCATAATGGATGCTGGAAATTTCATTGTATTGCACACCATTGTTGAGGTGTCCATTGCCTACGTTCTTTAGCCCATCTAAGCCGATTTTTCTTTTGCAGTGGAGTTAATAGTTTCTTTTCTTTTCCCTATAAACAAGTTGTGCAACTTTAAGGTTTTTACTTCACTTTTTTTTATAAGAAAACTTACCTTACAAGTGCTAAATCCCAGTTTGTGGGCCTCTCTATGAGTTGTGGACCTCGAAATTCTCCTTCCAACAGCGTCACTCCACAGAGCACTTAATTGTAAATAATTGGCACGCCTATTTTTTACGATTATTTTTCTTAATGCTTTTCGGTCGGCATTTGTGATATTACTTTTTTTCACATATCGTGGCTTAATATTAACTGAACCAGTTACGTTATATCTTCTAACAATATTTTTCACACTGTACCGCGATAAGTTCAACAAAGTTGCAATTTCTGAGTTTGATTTCCCAGAATTAAAAAATTTAATTATCAGTAATCGAATTTTCTCACTAATAACCTTTCCTCTACCCATTTTGAAAACCTTAACTACCCAAAACTATTTTAAACGTATTTTGACAGCTGTGATTAATAAAAACAATTGTCATGGCTTTTATTTTTCACAGCCACCTATCCGTTATAGACTTATTTTGCATTGACATGAAAATGGGTTGATATGCTGTAATTGCAACATGTGTTATTTTTATGTTACAAATTTGATTAGGGAATGATAAAGTTGGTGTTTTCTACTATATATTATCAAAATATTCATTGTTAATATTTTAAACCTATAACACCCTGCTACATTTTTATTATTTGTGTTTGATAAGAAAAACACTAAGAGTTGGGCCAACTGAAGTGGGAAGGGGCTCGTATATGTATGCAAGATAAAAATTATATAGCGTTTGAAAAATAAAGATTTTTAGCTTATGAAACGAGCCCGACTGTTAAAATTCCCGTCAAATTTCGAAAAAGTAAACTTTTAGTGCCTCAAAGGTAAATTTATATATGTATAATGTATCGAAACAATGTATATAGAAGATGTATGAATACCACACAACAATGTTTAGTTTTATTACCCTTCTAAGTGCCAACAGAAATAAATATGTGACTACAATCATCCGAATTTAGAAAATCCAAAGCAGTGGAAAACATACAGGGAAAACTAAATTTGTCTGCTTGAGTTCAATTTGGATGAGAGAGAAGCGCGAAAATCTCAATAGATTTAGCTGTCATTGCGATATATTTATACCTTCTCTTAATGTAGAAATTAGGATTGATTATCAGTACTTAAATTGATTATTTTCTTTCCAAACTCTGTCGTTTACTATTAGTTTATTTTGTTCATGCAGTTGTCCTATATTATTATTATTAAAAGTGATGGTATTTTTATTATTAACAGTAGCAAACGATGACAAGATTCACAAGGATAAAATTTCATTGTCCCTTGCGAAAATATGCCGCATGCGCTATCCGTTCGAGAGAAGAATAATAGAAATTTTACATTTAGAAACATTGAAAAATCACTAAGTATAGACATCAAAATCTTAAAAGAATTCGTAGGATAATAATTTATGCGAGTAAATACACGGTGGCGACGATGCAGATCCCTGTCAACACAGAAACGCGCTGACACATCGTCGAACCACCCACAGTGCTGCTTCTGAGTGACTGTCGACTCTTGAAGAGGCTTACGGGCTTCACATACCAAATCACTAATCTTTTGTAATTCTGGTCAAACAAAACGATATTCGAATTCGAATGGTAGCCATTGAATGGATCAGTGGCGTGCTTCATAACCAAACGTTTCTATGGCCTCCAAAACAGGAAATTTACCGATGTTTGGCCAACCACGGCTTACTACAGATCAACGAATTTAGACTAGGTAGAGGGAGCCAGTCTCGACATTTTGAACATTTTTCTGACGGAGTTAACTGGACTATCATGGTTTGAATTAATCAGCACCGAAGACATTGACGCTAAAATAGATATGTTCACTTCTTTCATATTATCTGTGTTCGATGTCCATGCACCTAGTACTGAGAAGAGAGTAACTAAGGCCCGTATCGTCAGTTGTCCCTACAATTGTAGGGCGCGTTTATGGCCTCCTTGATTGTCATACTCAAATTTTAAGTGAAAATCAATATGTATTTACAGAAGGGAAGGCTTACATCGGACGCAATAACTAAAATTGTAAATCAAATACATCAAAATATTGATAACAGAATCCCTTCAATCCGCATTTTTGTTGATTTAAAGAAAGCTTTCGACACAGTTAATCACAAATTATTATTAGAAGCATTGGAGAGAATTGGTTTCACAGGAAACGCGTACTCACTGATCGAAAATTATTTTTCAAATCGCCCACAATCTGTGCAGATATCAGGATCATTTAGTAAAGAAATGTATATTAAGTGTGGTGTCCCACAAGGAACTGTCTTAGGTCCGCTGTTATTCAATATATATTTAAATGATATTTTCCAAATTAATTGTGTTTTGCAGATGATACTGCAATATTATATGAAGGCAGTGACTGGTCTGATATGAAAAATGTAATTGAAAATGATTTTATCAAAATTATTCGGTGGTTTAACAGTAGAAAATTAAGCATTAACTATTCTAAAACACATTTTTTACCATTTGGATCTTATGCTAAACACCTGCCAAATTACACAAATTTCTCCTTCAACATTAATGTTCAAAAAATGCAAATTAATAGAGTGCCCAACATAAAATACCTTGGAGTGGTCTTGGATACTCACTTACGATGGGACATCCATGTTATTATATTTTAAAGAAAGTTAGATTTGTATCCTACAAAATTAAATACCTTGGGAATATATTGACAGAAAAATATCTTCGAACATTATACCATGTACTGATTGAGCCTCATCTCACATATGGTATATTAGCATGGGGAGCTACATGTTCCTCACATATCTATAATTTAGATGTTTTTCAAAAAAGTATGCCTTCTATTGGGCCTGTTTTGATTTTATATTTATTTACTCATATTGTTTGTTATCTTTGTACATTGAGTGAATAAATATTATTATTAAAAAAATATTATTTCTCTCCTTCAAAAACTTCTAGATTACACTTGTCCCGTGTCAGCATCAGCGC